CTGCCAGCAAACACCCCCGCGGGGCAGACGTGGTGCACGTGATATGAGATACACAGATGGTGACTCATGATGTGTGCCAGCCCTGCTCTGGGGTTTGCATATCAGAAGCAGCAAGACCGGCTGTAAGTATTAGGAGAAGTCAGGTCCCTTTGCAAAGAAGAGTGAAAGGAAGGAAAGAAAGAAGGAAGGAAGAGTCTCGGTGCTGTCCTATAATAGATTTCTTTAGTTTTTGTGGGTGGAGGGTTTTTTTTAAAGGAGCAAGTATTTGAGTCAATTCCAAAGCAGCTCCAAAGGTTTCGACTTGTCACATTTCTAATCTCTGAGCTAAAAGTCTTCCAGGGTTACACAACAATGACTAAAACTGGAAACCTTTCAGACCATTTCCAAAATGAAGCAGGAAGCTGAGGTGATTGCTAAACCGACGGGAGAGAGAGGAGAGAGAGATCCACTTCCATGTGTGTGGGGCTAGAGTGAGAGTACCCGATTTCATTTGGAGGTTTCGAGTTGTTTTCTTTTTGATTTAATCTCAGAACAGAATTATTCTGGAACCAAGACCTTGACATTGTTTTGCTAAATGTTTTACAAACAGGCTGTTGACTGAAGTTGTCACTGAAGAAAAATTCACCCCTGCTTGTTTACATAAGGGGAAAATACAGTAATAAAGTGGGTGTAGCAACAAGTCGTTAGGTATTAGGTTAAGGTGCAATATAGGCATTATCCTCATAAAACACTGAGCCCTAAACTCAAAATATCAAGATTAAATGGACAATTACATTAAGTGGAAGTCTTTAAAAGGCTAAACTTGATGCTTAAGGCTTTTAAGTTACTGTTGTTCTGAGCAAGCTGATGAAAATCAAGTTCCAGTTCTTCTGGTACAGCTGCTCTGTTCCAGCAGAGATAGATGGAAATGACAAGTATGAAGAAAAGGCGTGCTTCTGCTGGTGTTGCTTTGTGGTAGCTCATCACTTGGTGTAAGTAGGTGTTGGGTTTATTCCCATTTATGCCACTGTGCTGCTTTATGGCCTTTGAAATACAGGAATTTACTTACCTTTCTCCCATATCTAATTGGGGTGAAATTTTCAAAGACACCAGTTTGAGGAGTCAATATGCAGACCCGTGAACACAGGTCTCCAGAGCAGTTCTGTATCTCCCTGGGCATGTTTCAGTACCCAACAGAGTAAGATCCTAGCCTTGGCTTAGATAATTAAGAATATATTCTGATTTTCTAAACTCTTGAGTCTGATATATATATATATATGCTTTAGAAGAGCTTCTGAACCCTCTCTGCCATTTACCTAATGAAATCTTGGAGATTTCTCTTTTTGTGTCTTCCTGCTACCCTGCCTAGCTTCACTGCTCCGTTTTAATCTCTGAGAAGTTTTTATTTGTGGGGGAAGTACATTTATAAGAACGGGTAGCAAAAGTATTGCAAATTTCAGCACACTTCCTCCCCTGAACGACAGAACAGTATGTAAGAGGAGGGTCACGATGTGTAAAAACACGCCCAGAAATAAAGGAAAAAAAAAACCAACATAGAAAGTAAAAGCAAGACAAAAAAGGGCGAGGGTTTGTGTGTTAGTGTTACAGGAAGGTGAAAACGTTTCCTGGCAACATCTGAGAATCATTTGCAGCAGCAGATCCATGAGCTTCAGTGAGTAGAAAATGTTTTTAAATCCTCCCCCACCCCCTTTGTTAATCTTTACCAGGTAGCAGGGCCTTTAATGTGATTCGTATGGCTTTCTTAGGGATGTGTAAAATCTTTCCATTTTGAAAAATAAGATTTTTGAAAGGGCTCTGAGATTTAAGTGCCTAAGTCTGGTTGTAAGTCTGTGGTCTTCTCCCCTTTAAAATTTGGTAGTAATAATAATAGTCTTCAGCCTGTTCTGCAAAAGGCAGCTTGTCTCAGCAGAGTGAGCGATGAACATCTGGCTTCACAGCCTCACTGCCTCTCATTTGGAATAGGAAAATCACGTGCCTGTTTAAAAGTGTCCCCATGAATGAAGTACAGATCGTAATACAGACTTACATAATTTCAGAAACGTTGAAGGACGATTTTTTTTAGACTTTAATGTTCTGAGCAGCATCAGACAATGTAAAAGAGTTATTAATTATGATGCATGATTATTATTGCACTCAAGAGACTTTGAGAGGTAGCCTGGAAAAGTTCAGATTTGGCTTACCTTTAAGCACACCCAAAATACCGGGCAACATTTCTGGATGTTTTTGAGTGGCTGAAGAGGCTGTTTCCTAAGACTTCCAAGCACATTTGGGATTTTAGGTCATCTGGGGCACGTCTCCTCTGTGCAATGCCAAATGGCTCTAAGCAATCCAATTTTCAACACGACGGAGAAAGATTAACTCAGATCCCGAGAGCAATATATGCCTGTTAGTGTTGCTCTGCACTGATTCTTTTTTACTCCATCCAGCTTCAGGGCTAGATTATTTGGTTCTGGTTCAGGAAGCTCTGCATCACGTTCCCTTTCTTAGTACAGACAAACTTTTTATTATTTTGCAAAATCCAATAGAGCATCTTACTGTGTGGCTTCATTTATACCAGTCAAAAACCCTCCACGAGCAGATATATATTACTGTACTTAGGAGAGACCCTAAGCAGAGCCAGAGTTCCTACTGCAAGACGCCTCACAGTCAAAGTCGTCTCCTGTTTGTGTCAGACTACCTTAAAATCAGAGTGGACTCTGCCACATAGCTGCATGTGGGACAGTCCATGATTCCTGCCAGCACCAACAAAATCTAAATATGGTGCCAGCAAAACACCGTTTGTGAAATATGATGATTTGTTAATGGCAACAGCAGAGAGTGGAATCAACTCAGTAGTCTTTGATTCATGAACTGTTTTAGTTCCTTTTAGAGTCCCAGGATGTTTGTGAGTATTTTCAAGGAACTCTAGTTTGAATCAGTCGATAAGAAAAACCGTATATGCCTAAGTATGTTTTTTATTTAAGATTATATTGGCTCCTGATTACAGTTTGCTTCATTTTCACGCCTCACATTATGAGGTCCTTAAAAAAATAACAGTTTCCAGTTTTTGTTTGTTGTTAAATATGACTTATAAAATGTTAGGTCAAGACTCTTCAATAGACTAGGCTACACTGTTTAAAGCTATGAGTGAAGCAAGTCATATGAATGTTTCCAAAGACTGTATTCCAAGAAGTATTTTTGGAAACATTAATGTTGTGTTTTTTAATGAAGGCCACATTCTGAGGCTACGACACCATATGTCACATTCATTTCTGTACTGAAAAAAAAAAAAAAAAAGGAAAAGAAAAGAAAAGAAAAAAGAAATGGAAACTATGTTTGGCTTTTAAGTGTTTTTGGAATAGTGTCTGTGCATGCTTGTCATTGTTGCTTGGATGAGAGAAGAGTTCTCGGTCTGTTAATCTAGTCCATCCAATATATATTACACTCTATGGGCCTGACTCTCTTCTGCCTTGAAGTGTGTGCAGGCATTTGTGCTCAGTCAAAGTGAATGAAGAGCTGAGGAAAAAGACTACCACTAGGAAACTTTTTTTTTTTTTTAAAATTCCATTTTCCATGAATATGTTGGCTTCATTGTAACCCTACATCTGAACTTTTGTCAGCTGAAACCAGCTGAAAACCGGGGAAAGTACTTGTCATTTTTCCATTGAAAACTTACAATTTTTGGAAGAATAATGGCAGTTTTTCCTCAAAAATATTAGCTTTTTTTTTTTTTTTTCTTCAGAAGTATCAGTTAGAAGCATGACATTTGGCAAAACTTTTGAATTGTTCTAGCTGTGTACCGTATCACTTCTGGCTTGTCAGTGTTTTGTGTGTTACCAGTTGGGATATGGTAGAATGAGCTGGTGACCTGCAGGAAAAGGCATTTGCCTTTTTCAGTGCTGTATCCTACAAGTAATTCATAAGCATCCTGTAACTGATTACTTCAGCTAAGTCTTTCCTTTTTTATTGGATTCCAGTTGATGAGGTCTCAGCTTCTAACATAAATTCTTGTTATTAGTTGCTAAACTTATAGCCTAGCACTTCGTACTGCTGAAGTTCATATGGTTGCAATCTGCAAAGACATCCATTTTTTCTCTGATCTGACAGAGGAATCTCCTTCTTCACATCACTTCCTAAATTTGTGTCATCCACAAATTTTATTAACATACTGCAAGGTTTGTTTCAAACTCATTAATAAAAAGTTAAATACTTTTGGTAGCCAGATTGTTTTATTTGGTTTGTTTTGTTTTAAGGCATGGTTTGAGAGGGTTTCCAGGACCTCAGAGAGCTTTCTTTTTCATTTGCAATGTAAATACTTTTCTACAAATTGAACAAATATGTCTCTCTAGCACCAGCCCAGTAAAGTTCAGTTCCATGACCAGGTTTTTCTGGGCAATACTGAAACACAAATAATGATGAATGATTGTGTGTTTGATACATTTTCTGGTTAAAACACATTAGCACTGAACTTGTCTGCCCACACTACTGAAGTCTTATGTCTAAATGAGGGTGTTTTCCTACACATTTCTTCTAATGGAGGAAAACAAATGAACGTGCAACAAACAATTAATTAATTACCTCAAATATTTGGCTAACTTTAAGAGGGTTCATGCCATTCCTGTGACTGTTCTTCAGAGCCCACCCTGATTTGAATGTTACGTCGCCAGAACATTAGAAGAAATATTCACAGTGGGTTTTTGATTTCTGTTTTCGTCTACATACCAAATTTTAGGATTGATATGGAAATTTCTAATTAGTTTAATTTCTAGCTGCCTCATGTTTCCAGGCCTAAGCTTTTGAGCTATGTTGTGTAATGAATGTCAGAATCTGTACTCTTCAGAAAACTGCTCATGATGGCCACAAAGTGAATGCATTTAGATTTGATGTTACACAGTTCTGGCATAGGAAATTAAAACAAAAATAAACTTTTTCTTTTATTTCATAGATTTCCAATGAACAAAGAAAACAAATAGCCCCTGGGACCACAAGTGTGTTCTGTAAACTGATGCCACGAGGCAGATATGAGAAAGATGACTGAACAGAGTGGTTGCTATAGGCCTGTAAGCATACAGGGAAATAAGATCAGATACCAAGGCGCTTGTCAAGAAAGCCCTGAAATGGGGATGAAAAGATTGCAGAAGCGATTTCTCCACAAGGATGGCAGCTGCAATGTGTACTTCAAACACATTTTTGGGGAATGGGAGAGCTACGTAGTGGACATCTTCACCACACTGGTGGACATCAAGTGGCGCCATATGTTTGTGATATTCTCATTGTCGTATGTTCTTTCATGGTTGTTCTTTGGACTAGTCTTCTGGCTGATAGCAATCCAACATGGAGATTTATTCAATGATGAAGAAATAACCCCGTGTGTCGCAAACGTCCATAGCTTCACAGGAGCATTCCTGTTCTCCCTTGAAACCCAAACGACCATCGGTTATGGTTACCGCTGTGTTACAGAAGAGTGCTCCGTTGCAATTCTCATGGTTATCCTGCAGTCAGTACTGAGCTGCATTATTGACACCTTCATAATCGGAGCAGCCTTGGCTAAAATGGCCACGGCTCGAAAAAGAGCTCAAACCATTCGTTTCAGCTACTATGCAGTAGTTGGCTTAAGGGATGATAAATTTTGCCTCATGTGGCGCATTGGTGATTTCCGACCAAATCACATGGTTGAGGGCTCTGTACGGGCTCAGCTGCTGCGCTACAAGGAAGACAAGGAGGGGAGAATGACGATGGAATACAAGGACTTGAAGCTGCTAAATGACCAGATCATACTTGTTACACCAGTGACAGTTGTACATGAAATTGATAGTGAGAGCCCCTTGTATGGTCTAGACCGGAAAGCTCTGGCCAAGGACAACTTTGAAATCTTGGTCACGTTTGTCTACACAGGTGATTCAACAGGAACTTCACATCAGTCAAGAAGCTCGTATGTCCCCAGAGAGATTCTTTGGGGCCATAGGTTTAACGACGTCTTACATGTAAAGAAAAAATACTATAAGGTGGATTGCCTACAGTTTGAGGAAACCACAGAAGTTTATGCTCCTCACTGCAGTGCCATGCAGCTGGATCGGAAGGAGCAAGAATGGAATCGAACTGAGAAGACACAGGAAAAAGAAGCAGAGACATCAGCACTGGAGGTCAAGTCATTTAGTACTAACCAGAAGTCATTTAGTGCAGTTGCCCTTATCACCAGTTGTGAAGATCCAGAAGACCCAGTGACAGCTGGCAATCACCCTTCTGGAGAAGTTTCTTATCAGAAAGCTGCCGTGACCTTAAGCAGACTGTCAATAGAGTCCCAAATCTAGCTTTTTACTGCAATTAAAATCACTTCCAACAAATTCTCCCGTTGTAGCTTTTAGAATATAAACAATGAACTCACATGCACAAGTATTTATGTTGTAAACCTCACTGACAGTATGACCACGTTGTAAGATGTTGCTGAGCTGCTAGAAGGAGCTTCATACTGGTTAGTGTGGGTATCAGTAACAGATGAGCATTGGCACAAGAAAACAGCTTACGCTTGGGTTGATTAGACAGCTACTGCACTTGAGCAAACTTATTGTAAACTTTATTACCCTGCAGGGACCAATGTTGGACGTACCCAGAGATAGATAATGATCTAGGCAGGGAACAAAAACAGTGCAGTGTGCCCTCTAGGTCAGATTTTTCAAAGCTGCCTAATTTATTTGGGAAGCCAGCTCCCAGTCCCTCTAGGAGGCTCTGAAACTCCCTCACCACCATCACAAACGATTACTCTTTCATTGCACCTCTCTAGCAGTTCAAAAGAAGCCCTCAGCCCAGGGTTGCATGGGTGAATCTAAGGGGCTGTTCTCTGTAGGAAGGAGTGAACTGGCAAGAATAACTGAACCCGGTATTACCGGGTAGCTTTGGAAAGCTGCTTACACCCTGCCTAGTCCTGTGCGATCCACAGTGGGATCCTGCAGAGCTTTTCTCATTTCCTAGTCATGAGCCATTCCCAGAAGTGCCGCTCCCTCAGCAGCTTGAGGTATGCGGTACGGCAGCTGGCTTGGGGCTGCATGAAGATTTTGTTACGTGGCTCTGACGGCGAGGAGGGCTGGCCAAACTGGCTCATTTGCACTGCTCAGAAATCAAAAAGAGACCTCAAGTTTGAAATCGGAATCAGCAAAATCAGGTTGAGCCTCAGAGAGAAGTTCGTGTTTTTAGAGTGAGCTGTGCAATATTTTAAATCAAAACATCTTTCATTTCAGAATGTCGGCCTTGCTTTTGTTTTTAGTACGTTATGCTTCTTTAAAAAGACAAAGATCAATCTGGAGACCAAACAGTGTGATTTTGTCAACATGAAATATTTTTATTCATCTGAAATGACTGTGTAAAAACGATCCTTCACAGAGAAACTCAGCTCAATTTGGAAAAAAAGGAAGTTGTTAATGTTTTGAAGTTGTCTGTGACATGGAAGTTCCATGCTCTGCACATCTCTGTAATGATTCAATAAGCGGTATCTCATCATGCTTTTTTTCCCTGATGATTACGGTTAATTGGCATTGTGTTTAATTATCATGCTAGCGTAAAAATAATTATCTCTGAATTTGTGGTTGCCTAAAATGGGATTTATCTTACCTGACCTCAGCCATTCAAGAAATTAAGTGTTTGCCTAGTGGTTGAGGCTCTCTGTGGTTCCTGGAGTGTTCTTCTGTATTCACAGGGGAGTTCAGCCCATCTTACTCTGGCTTTTTAGGGAGTTGAAGGCAAGAGGATGTGTTTATCCTGGAAATGTTCATCCCTCTCCATTTATTGTTGAAGGAGATGAGATGACTGTTGTGGAAATGCTGGCTAACTTTAGGCTGCAAAAATGAGGTCTGACGAGTCATTCACATCATTCTGACTAAATAAAAGTTCTTAGGAGCTCATCACATTTAATGAAGAAAAATAGCATGCTGAATCTTTTTTCTGTTTCCTGAAATTTACTCCATATAGTAGTATGGCTGCATTATTTTAACGTATCTTGCATTTCTCTTCTGCTAGCACTCATCTTTGGATAGATGTGATCCCTTTAGGTAGAACCAAGCATATTAACAAGCCTGGGCAGAGGTGGTTATTCCGAAGCTCATTAATGAACCTATTTTATATGTTGAATCATCATCAGCATCCATCTGTAACTCCAGTAGAAAACATCTTATTGTATCCTGGATTTGAGCACTGGCAGGCATTGGGGAAACAGTCTGAAAAAAATGGAAAGGAACGTAGGAAAATGTATAAGGATCTCAGTACTTATGTGGTGTTGGAAAAAACACCATCCGGATTGTACAAAACAGAATATAACCTTTAAGACATGTGACGTAATCCTTCCATACTCTGTCCTTGAAAGATCTTGGCTGGGTTACTTTATTTGATGTTGGGCACTGCACTTCTGGAAAGACATGGAACAATTTGAAGAGAATCCGGAGATCTCAAAAAGATGTCGATGAGGAAGTAGGGAAATAAGGTGTTTCAGTCCGAAAAGGGGTTAGGAAACAAAAGAAACAGTTCTCAAACACAACGGTTGCAATTCAAAAGAGAAGGACAATCTGTTGCCTGTATCTGGTGGGTAGGACAGGAAAACTTGGGCTTAAAGTGAAGCCAAAGAGATTGAAGTTAATTAGGAAACACTGTCATAAAGAAGGCAAAGCACTTGCAGATCTGTGGGGTATCATCTCTGTGGTGGTGGCTCTCAGGAGCCTGCTGGAGAAAACGCTGTCAGGAGTGGTAGAGAATGGTCAACCTTGCCTTGAACTCTCCAACCCTGTTTTTCTGTGATCCTAGATCTTCAGAAAAAGGGAATGCCTAACATGAAATTGGCTTATCTGGTCAGAGATCTGCTCAGAGAGAGGAGATACTACTGAGATACAGAATCAAAATCCCCAAAATATCTTCCAAAAGTGCCTATTTCAGGTGCTGTTTGTAAAAGTAGGTTCCCCTATTAATCTGCGAATCTCGGCTGCCTTTCCCTCTCCCAGCTATGCACTGTGTGAGCCTGTTGTGGTGAAAAAAATTCTTTCCTTGGAATGACTTTCCTGTAAGTGAAAGTACCAGGAGTCTGATTTAGCATTTTGTCACATGCTTCTTGGTATAGATAGACATAAATACGTGAGCATGTATAGTAATGTATGCTTTGGCATGTAAGTCAACCACTAACTGATGAGGGTCAGGAAGAAACTTCTCTCCTGGGCATGTTAATTCGTAACAGGCTACTATACAGTTTCTTCTACTTTTATCTACAGCATCTGATACCAGCCAGTGCTGGAGACAGGATACTGGTTGAACCACTGGTCTCAACCAGTCTGGCTTTTTCTGGGTTTCACTGTTTGATATTTTAGTTATATTTATCACAGTATAAAAACTATGTATAATAATGTATAGCAAAGCATGCATTGCATTTTTATGAATAAAGACACAGAAATAAAGAACATGCCTCTACCACACACCTTGTGGGAGCACATTTTACTTCCCTTCAGCCACAGTTTTGAGCTTCCATATCTGATGCATTAAGAGGTTATGGAAAGATTTATAAGGTGCAGAGTAGTCTTTTGACTTTAAAAGATGCCAAAACACAAGCAAACCCACAAAAGATATACATACATTCTGTGGAAGCTCCTTATCATGCGCTCCATTTGTTTGGAGGAAACAAAAAGCCAAACAAAGCCCCACTCACAGACATACCCACACACGCTTCTGCATGGCAGCTGCATCCAGAGCTTGCATACTTTTCCTGCAACCTCCTCACCTGGTGAAGGATCTTCGGTAGCACCAGGTGGAGAAGACAGGACCGGACAGAGGTGCAGAAGGGATACACAACCACACGAAATGTGCAGGCTCCTTCCACAACTATCGTTTAGATGGGGCCTGACTGCGCTCTTGGTAGACCCAGTTCTCCTTGCCTGGGAGAGGACCTAGGAAAGACTCTTGCAATGCACTGGTCTACAGCAGCTTTGGGCAAGTAGGAGGGAGAATTTTCCTCATCCATCTGCTCTTTCTAGATGAGGATGTTTCCCAACGATTTCCATTTGGCTTTTTTTTTCTAATCCATCCCCATTGCAGAGCTGAGCAATGCAAAAGCCAGCAAGCCTCTCGCAAACCCAACAAAAGTGCTAACACACGCAGGCTCACGGCAGGAACGCAGCCCTATCCCTTGTGCCCTCCCTAAAGAATGGATGAAAGTGCCCACCGGCCCAGAAGTGCGAGCCTGGCTGCATTCTGGGCTGTTCGGTGAGTTGGGAGCTGAAGTGAAACACAAGGACCCTCCTGCTCTCCTGGAGCAGTGCTCCTTGGGTCTTCAGCAGAAAGCCAATACATTGGGTTGAAGTTCAGCAGCTTCTTCCCGGCCCCCAAGAGGCAGTAATTGGCCTTTCTTTCTGCCTCAGCTGGAAGTTGCTCACCCTCTTCCCGTCTTTTCCACAAAATTTACCAGATGAAGCAAAATTTTAACGACAGAGAGAACATACAAACCACTTTGCGTTGGACTCCTGTATCATGATTATAGCTGCATCTCGGTTATTTTCTCTTGGAAAGTAGCACTATTGTTCTGGGTCAAGATTAGTTTGTGTCAAAGGGAATATAATATGAGATTATTATACAATTTATTTTTCCAGCTTTGCCTACCACCGTTCATTAAGGCAGCTGGCATTTCCTTCCCCATTATCATGTATCATTTAGTGCATATTTTCTGTGAAGTTGATTTTCAGATGTGGGGCATATATATCCCTTTGTTTATCCCTTGTTTCTTACGCATTGTGCAGGAGGTCTGGCTTCGGCTGCCTACCTAACCTGAAGCATTACGGTTGCACAGTTCCACTCGCTTCAGGAAATAACAGGTACCTTTCAGGGTATCAGAGGTGTTTGTGTGGGAAGAAAAAATTACTTGTCAGCTTTTTTTAGCTTTTAAATCTTTGTTTGTTTTGAGCTGGGAACCTGCGAACAGAAAGAGTTTGTGTCTTTGTGCTGGGCCTAAGAGGCCCATTTAGGGAAGCATCTGACAACAGATTCACTTCCAAGCAGGCAAGAGGAAACATGACAGAAATGAAACGAGAACAGAACAAGGAGCGGTTACAGTTTTAGTCTGGGCTGAAAAATGTGGATCGATGTTTTCTTGGGGCTTAAAGTCACAACACGGGAGCTACTTCCAGCATTTAAATCTTTTCCTGGGGTCAGTCCCTGTGGCTGAGGAGACGATGGGGGACTCAGACAAACATCAGGCAAAAGAGATATGAAGTTGGATAATTCCATTTTGGAATCACCCCGCAGAAAGCCAGGAGGTTTCGAAGCTGTGATATTGCCACCTGCCAGTCGC